CCTGTGACATTTTGTTCTTCTAGATGCTATGAGCTGCTTCATGCTGATGGTTAAGGAAAAAAATCTGTCTAATTTGTATTTGGTTGGTTCCCGAATCAAACCCAATTATTTACTAAAGCATTCCAGCAACAGATTGTGATTATCTCTAGGCTATAATTAGGCTCTGTTCACCAGAGGGGGCAATTACTTTTTCACACCCGAAGACAACATAACACCTTTAACTACTCAGCTGGCCAAAACATTGGTGTCTTTATTCTCTCAGACTCACAGCAAGCCAGGAATAAAACATGTGGGCCTTTGGAAAATGTAGAAAATGAGATGAGGGTGAGAGATTTTCCCAATCAACAAGCAACATTTTACTGCAATGTGAACATTTTACAAGGAGAGAAAAACATCTGCCTCTTCCACTGTTTTGACCTAATTATCAAAAAACCTCAAGTAAATTGATTATACATTACTGCACTGTAGTTTTATATGTGCAATTACAATTATACAGTCCATTACACAAATACAATCAAATACAATACAATTACAATAGGCTACATTACATTACATTACATACATTATGCTGTAGTGCATGCTGGGAACTGTAGTGCAACATGTTCTGAAATGGGCTAATATTGAGAGAAAATGAAAAATAATTTTATGGGCCAGATAGGATTGTGCTAGTATTGGTTAATAAATAATACGTTATTTTTTCTTGACTCGCTAGTTTGTATACAAATATTTTGCACCTGAGGAACTGTCACTGAGGTACATTATAGACCACCAAACATTCACATAATTTACAGTCCAAGTAGTCATTAAGTTCAAGTTTTTCACTATTTGGAAAACATTTATTTGGTAGGCAATCACACAGAAGCCTCACTGAAATGAAATACATCGTATTTTCCAGCATTAAGTGGGTCCACATTTTGCCTTTATTACAGCTTCTATTTTTTCCATTCTGCCACTTGTTTTTCACAGAAATCTGCAGGGATATTTTTCCACGCCTCCGAAGTTTAGTCTCAGAAGTTGGTTACATTTTCTGCTTCCTACATTTCAAATAATCTCAAACACATTAAGTAAATGTTGAGGTCTGGACTCTGGGGTGGTCAGTCCATTGTTCAGCTTCTTTGTTTGATATCTCCTTTTTTCAGTGAGGTTCTTCTTGACAGCTACACATCCTTTCAGACCCACAGCGCTGAGTCGTCTTCTCACAGTGGAAGGATGGACAGAAACACCTGTGGATGTTTTCAGATCTGAAGCAGCTTGATTTTCTCCTCTCTCTCAAAGATGAAAGCTTTAAGTTTATCTGATGGGGGCGGTTTTGGTGTCTAACAGGTCTTCCAGGTGGTTGTTAGGAGTCTCATTTTCTATTGTAGCTATTAATAATTTTTTGCCCCTAGAATGTGCATCTCTGGTATGGCTTGGAAACAAACTACAGTCTCTGTGATGCCCAAAATCTCAACCTGAAACACATCCTTACCAGCTGCAAATCAGCTTTGACCCAGGGCCAGTACAGGTGGTGCTACGACCAAGTACTCTGACAGCTGGCTGAGGTTTTGGAGAAATGCAGGCTTGAACTCAATAAAACCAGCCCATCATCTGCCAAACCACAGATATGCTTCTTCAGGCAAAGAATTGAAGCGGAAATCATCAACCGGAGGGAGTGGTCCATACTGAAACCTGGATGCGAGTGGCAGATGAGGGTTGACCTTAACCAGCAGCTTAAGTTTCTATCCGAAATAGCCACAACTTCCCTACGGCCAGACATGGTCTTGTGGTCCATCTCTGCCAAGACAGTAAGCATTGCAGAACTCACAGTACCTTGGGAAGAAATGACAGAGGCAGCCTTTGAGAGAGAAAAGGAGAAGTACAGCGAGCTTACTCCAGGATGCACAGGAGCAGGGTGGAAAGCATGCACCTACCCTGTTGAAGTCGGATGCAGAGGCTTTGTTGGAAAATCCATCCAGCAGCTATTGAAAACCCTCAGAGTAAAAAGAAGGGAACATAAGAGAACTAGCTGAGGAGGTAGAGAAAGAGAGCTTCTGGATGTGGCTCAGAGGAAGAGAAGGACTTAGGGCCAGCTGTAGGGGGTGGAAGGGCGACGTCCAACCACTGTCCCACCACCCTAGAGACATTCTAGGTTTGAAGGGGCGAAACTCTGTGAAGGGTGGCTCCCAGCTGACGACCCTGCAGCTGACCCACTGGCACTGGCGGAGGTGCATCAGGCAGAAATGCCTTGCAGGCATCGAACACCTGTGCTTCTACCCATTTGGGGGCTTTATACCCCTCTTGCTGACACTTGGCATTGAGTAAGGTGACATTAGGCTCATATACAGCTGCTCTGAAGTGTCAGAATCTGTTGTGAGTGTTTTTTATGGAGATTATATAAGCTGTGTGTTCAGTCATTAGAAGGGCTGTTTGGATACTTTTGTATATATCATATACAGTGTACTTATGACTTGAAGACATAACATGCAGAAAAGATGTGGGATATGGTAACATACACTAAATCACTGGAATATGGTAAGGACTGGAATATGTTAAGGAATTGTTCTCAGATGGCAAATGTCCTCATCTCCCATTCCTATTGATCAGCTAATGTGAGTTATGCAATCAGTGGATAATCCCAAGGCTATCAAGGTTTTTTAAGGCCACTGTTCTCACTGTTGTGTTTTTTTTCTTTTTTCAATGTACCACACTATATTTAGTCATGCACAAATAGACATTGATCAGCTTGATTGATTGACACATAAGTCTAGCCGCCCTGGCCAGATGCATCTGTCAGATGTAATGAATGGTGTCATTACTCCACAGGGTTTTTGTTCTTTAACCCATTAAAAAGATTATGAAGGTCATTCTTCTCTCTCTCAACAAGGGAGGAGTTGTTATGAGCCAAATTAACATGTGTGTGTATTTTGATCTAAAAAAATGTATAACAGTAACAAGTTTCTCACGTACAAATCACAGGCTGCTTTGCATAAGAAGCTGAGGAGCTGCATCACCCAAACGAATGGCAGGTGGACAGTTCCTATCTATGATGTTATGTCCAGTCCTAGTGACTTCTGAGTATGAATGTGTAGTCCTATCCAGTCCAAGCGCAGACAGACTGCTCATATGTACAAGCATGAACTCCTAGTCAGTCCAGGTCAGAGTGGATGAATTCATAGCCAGTCCTAGCACAGGTGGATCGCTTGTGCTTACACTCCCCCCAGCCAGTCCTAGCAATATGCATGACCTACATGAACTACCTGCGAGTATGAACTCCTAGTCAATCGAAACCTAGGCAGAGTTCTCATGCATAGTAATACCAACTCTTAGCCAATCCTAGCACAGGAGGAATGCTCAAAAACACAGATGGGTGTACCGCTCTCAAGCAAGAGCATAATGTGAGCGTGGGACGTTAGCAGAAATGCAAATAAAACAGAAAGCAGTGATTTGATCCACTTTGGACTTAATGTTTACCATTTTTCCTGAGTGTGTTAATTATGGAAGCTCGTTTCTGCCATTGAAAAAAATATACAGCCGTTTAGCAAGTCATACTACTCTGAAAGTTTTCCATAATTATGACTAAGTATCTCTTAATTATGCTTTAGTATCTCATCATTTTGACCTGCTATGTCATAATAATGAGGTCCTTTCTCATAATTAATAACTTAATATCTCATAATTATGACTTAGCATCTCATAATTTTGACTTAGTATCCCATAATAATGTACTTTTTATAATATTGAGGTTCAATCTCATATTTATGACTTAATAAAAACTTAATAAAAATATCTTCTCATAATTATGATTCACTGTCATAAGTATGACTTAGTATCTCATAATGACTTACTTTCTCATAATTATGACTTAGTATCTAATAATTATGACTTATGATTTAACAATTACAGTGTCATTGTAATGAGATACTAAATCATAATTATGAGACACTAAGTCATAATTATGAGAAGGTAAGTCACAATTATGAGGCGCTTGTCATAATTGTGAGATAATAAGTCATAATTATGAGACAGTAAGTCATAATTGTGAGGTGCTTATCATAATTATGAGATACTAAGTCATAATTATGAGAGAGTAAGTCATAATTATGAGGTGCCTATCATAATTATGAGATACTAAGTTATAATTATGAGAGAGTAAGTCATAATTATGAGGTGCCTATCATAATTATGAGATGCTAAGTCATAATTATGAGAGAGTAAGTCATAATTATGAGGTGCTTATCATAATTATGAGAGAGTAAGTCATAATTATGAGGTGCTTATCATAATTATGAGATACTAAGTCATAATTTTGAGAGAGTAAGTCATAATTATGAGGTGCCTATCATAATTATGAGATACTTAGTCATAATTATGAGAGAGTAAGTCATAATTATGAGGTGCCTATCATAATTATGAGATGCTTAGTCATAATTATGAGATGCTAAGTCATAATTATAAGGTGCCTATCATAATTATGAGATGCTAAGTCATAATTATGAGATGCTAAGTCATAATTATGAGATGCTAAGTCATAATTATGAGAGAGTAAGTCATAATTATGAGGTGCTTATCATAATTATGAGATACTAAGTCATAATTATGAGAGAGTAAGTCATAATTATGAGGTGCCTATCATAATTATGAGATACTAAGTTATAATTATGAGAGAGTAAGTCATAATTATGAGGTGCCTATCATAATTATGAGATCCTTAGTCATAGTTATGAGAGAGTAAATCATAATTATGAGGTGCCTATCATAATTATGAGATGCTAAGTTATAATTATGGGAAACTTCGTCTTTATTATGAGTGCCTAAATGTCTCTGCGGTCCTCCACAGCAGAAGGTCATGTGTGCAGTTACTACCCATCTCTGCTTACGAGTGTCAACTCAGGTCCAATCCTCGCGCAGGAGGCGGGGCTTGTCGGACTATGGGCGGGAAAAAAAGCACTGGCACGCGATTGGGCCGCTGAGCAGCTCGAGCGTTTGGGAGGGAGGTGAAGGTGCTCAGGCTGGCAGAGGGGGACTCACAGGCATGACAGCCGAGCGCCGTGCTGAGGACACCTGCCTGCGACCTGAGCCCGGAGACGCTGCAGCAGCCGGAGCGGTCAGCCGAGACTGACCTCGGGCTGGTGCTGTTGGTGGTTTTTGTGTTTTTATTTTGCCGGTTTTCTTGCGGTCGTCTCTCCTGCTCATAACTCTGCGTTATGGATTAGTGGAGGGGGGGCGGCCGAGAAGCTACTGTAAATCCCCCTCACTGTTACTGTGCGGCTGATCTGGATTTAAGCCCAGGACAGAGATAAATTGCCTTCAGGAGGAGAGCAGAGCGAATTTGGGCCGGTATGGACACGAACATGAGGAAATTCACAGTGCGGAGGTGGTTTTCGGTCTACCTGCGCAAGAAGTCTCGCTCGAAGAGCTCCAGCCTGTGCAAACTAGAGGTGAGTGTGTGTGTGTGTGTGTGTGTGTGTGTGAAGGTCTGTTCTGGTATTCTGTGAGGTGTGAGTTTACACTGTAGCACAGCTGAGAACTACTACAGCAGAATATCCGCTGCTGAACTCTGCAGGGTTGATTCAGTGTCCGGCTGGGTTTGTATGAACGCTGCCGATGCTCAGTCAACGCTACAGTGACTCTCTGTGAAGGTGGTGAGGGTGTCAGTGTGGTTCGGCTCTGTGGCGGAATGTCAGGCTGACTGAGGCGCAGTGCGCGTGTTCCAGTGTGGAAACCTCACCAAACTAACCTTACAGAGTTTCCTCCTCCACAGAGATCCACCCCATACCGAGGAAGACCATAACACTGAGCCCCTCCTCTCTTTATCACGGCAGTGTGGCAAAAATGTCTCGAAATACACACTTATCATCTCAAAATGATGACTTATTATCTAGGAATACTGACTATATCTCTCTCAGAAATTTGACTTCTTGAAATAGTGGCTCATTTTCTCAAAATCTTTACCTACGGTGTCAAAATAATGGCTTTTCCTGAAATATTGACTGGGTATCTCAAATATCGACTTATTTTCTCATCATATTGACTTAGCATCTTGAAATAATAAATAACTATTATTATTATAATTGAAATTCTGACTTAGTATCTTGAGATAATTACCTGTGTTCTCAAAATATTGATTATCATGTCAAAAACGGACTTGCTGTGTCAAAAAAAATGACTTTTTTCTGGAAATAATGACTTATTTCTTCAAAATATACTTTGTCAAATTTTGACTTAGTATCTTAAAAATAAATTGTTTTCTTGGAATATCAACTCGGATTATGAAATAATGGCTTTTCCTGAAATATTGACTTCTTTTTTCAAAACAATGACTTATTTTCTCAAAATATTAGACTTAGCATCTTGAAATATTGTGCATTCTTTAAAATTCTGACTTAGCATCTTGAAATAAAGGATCTGTTTTTTCAAAATATTGACTATTGCATTAAAACATTGACAACTGATGTAAAAAATATTGATGTCAACGCAACGATTGATGTCAAAATAATGACTTAGTGTCCTGTATAATGGCTTATCCCAACAAGTTATTTTCTTGAAATTTAATATCTAATTTTTGACATAGTATCTCAAAATCTTGAGAAAAATAAGTCATTATTACAAGAAAAGTCTTAGAGAGTTCAGAAACTCTCTGCCAGTATTTTGAGAAAGTAAGTCAGTATTTTGAAATACTAAGTCAACACACTGCTGCTAGAAACAAAGAAGAAAATAAAAGAGTTTTTACCCTCTACCTGGGGGGATCGGGCTGTTATCTGATATAGACTATCAATTTAAGGTTGCACAATATTTTGTTGTTGTCTTCATTCTTTTCTCTAAGCACAGCATCAGAAGATTATCACAGATTTCAGTTTTGTTTTAAAGGGGCCGAATCATGGAAAACTTCTCCTCACCTTTTTTAAATAAAGTTTTTGGTCTCTTTGAAGCTTGTAAACATTGCTCAAGTTAAAAAATGTACCATTCACCCCGTCAGTCCATCAGACCATATATGTAAACTAAGCCACAAAAACAGCCAGTTTTGAATATATTATTTTTGTGATGTCACAAAAACCAACACATTTACACACATCCACCTATTCAGCCTACAGCAGTTTAGCTCCGCTCACTCACACTGACGTTATAAGGAGTGTTTCAGCCTGGGCTGCTTTTAATTGTGTCACAATACAAGGCAGCCAATCAGAGCTCATTTACATACGTCAGTCCTAAAGGCACAGTAACAAAAACATCCTTTTCAGTTGTAAGGAATAAGGAGAGATCATGATCATGTAAAAATGAATGACCGTTTTTGATTCATAAAGGCACACATTGTTATAAAAAGACTTCAGGGGGAAAAATAAAAAGTAAAAAGAAGGATATCAATGAAATGTATCAAAAGGACACGACCTCAAACGATCAAAAGATATCAAAGTTTATTATAAATGATGTTTATTGTTTATCTTAAAGGCATATAATAGTAAAAACCTCTTTTTGAAGCTGTATATATCATTATGATTACAGATTTGATCAGTCTTTGATCAAAAAGGTCAAGTATGGATATCTTTTCTTTATATTAGTCATATTTTACATTTGTATTGAGAACAGCTCTGTTAACCTTGGGATACTCATCAGACATATTTTCTGTTTCAAATTTAAGTAAAATCTGAACATTTTTTTCTGAGTAAACAGTAAAAACACATGAGCAGAGTCTAGTCCTGTGTTTGTTTTCAAACAGCACTGGACGCTTTGACATTGTTTTTCTTTTTTTTTGCTGAACGCTGAAATGTCTGCCGACTCAGATGATCAACCTTGACATACCTGTCTGGCAGTATTAAAAGTTAAGTCATCAAACTGCTTGACTTCTTGTTTGATGACTGCATTTCAGCTGACGAAGAGTAAAATGCAGTGGGACGTCTGTGTTATGTTGAGTCCAGGTGTCCTGCTGTTGAAATGTACTACACAATTGGGTCCATTTCTGTTCTAGATATTTCTGACACAGACATTGCTATACTATGATATGTATTTATATTGTTATGCTTCTGTTTTTAGGGTGATGATTCATTTAATTGTAGCTCCTATGCTGAACCTGCCTATTAGTCATAATGTCAATTGTGGAACAAAGTGGGACTGAGATATTGTGCCCTTGAAAATGTGGACGCCTGCATAATATGTTTACCTGAGACAAGCATTGCATTAAGTCTGTCCCTTTATTGAAGTGCCATCTATTATCTGTGGATATTTATAACAAAGTGAGTATGGATATAATCTGGTCAGTATGCAAATGAGATAATATAATAATATTATTTTAAGAGCAGACCTGAATGAAGGAAAATATTCAGCAAATGGCATCCAGAAGTCTGTAATATTGTTTTTATTTCAGCATGTATGCGTAATATCTTAATGTGTAAATATAATTTAGACTCTAACACTTTTAAAATAGAAGATTTGGTAATATGTGACCATATGAACATGAAAAACTCTACTAGCTTCACTGTAGGGAAAGGATAGTAAGCTGCAGTGTCACATATTCATAGCCCAGGGGTGTCCAGTCTTATCCAAAGGGCTGGTGTGGCTGCAGGTTTTCATTCCAAAAAAGCAGGATAACCAACTGAATAAACAAATTAAATTAGGCGTTTCATCTTGATTGGAATGAAAACTGCAGCCACACTGGCCCTTTGTGATTAAGATTGGACACCCCTGCCGTAGCCGGAAGGTCACAGGTTCAGTGCCCAGCATGGTGCAGTAAAAACCCTGTTAAATGTCAAGGATACGAAGGATTTAATGACTCTATACATCTAGACTTCGTCCTTGAATAAGATGGTAATCCTGAAGCTTGGAGTGTAAAGGTTATATGGCTCCTGTTGTTGCTATTATGCCTCATTTGTACAGTTTTGCATCAGATGGGAATTCTTTAATGTTTGTTGATGATATTAAGAAAAGTATGTATATGGCAGCTTTTCTCAAACTTTCTCAGAAAACCCTATTTGAGCTGGATTAGTTTTCCTAGAAGAAATCTGGTTGTGTGATCTGTGCATGATTTGACTGGTCCATTCATATAGGATGAAAGATCTGTGTAATTTCCCCAAAATACCCCAAATAGCCCAGATCAAAACATCATCATGTGGACTTTCCCATTAGTGTTATCCAGTATGCGCCATGCTTCCACAATGACATGGCTAAATGGCAAGCACGGCAGGGAAAGACTCGAATTGCGACTCTGTGCTAGGCAAGAGACTTTACATCTCATTTCAGTGTGGGTTGACACCCATTGTCGTGAACTTAAGAATTAAGAAATTGGGTCGTTTTCTTTTACCCAGTTTTGTTGTTACATTACTGTGATGTCAATTTGAACAGGGCTGCTGTTACTGAGGGAGCCTCAGGTTCACCAAATTATAGAAGGTAATCCGGAATTATTAATGGTAAAAACTGTGGTCACTGCAGATTCATACTGGGTTAAAATCACAGCTCTCACTGTTAATCACTCCCCAGGTAAAACTAATCCAGCTCAAACGGGGCTCAAGTCCCCCTTTGTGAATAACAAGTGCCTCACTCTATCCCCTCCCCCTTGCCCCCCCTGCCTCCCAGGTCATTACTTTCACTTAATGAATGAGATCCATGTCTTACCAGACACTTATACATAGCTTTCTCCACAGCTATCACCACACATGACAAGAGACATGGACTGGACCTGTGACATTACAGATAACTCATTAAGAGGGCCCAGTATGGCCGTGAATATTGATTGGTTGGCACACGTTTCACTCGAATGACATTTAATAATATCTAGCATTTTTAACTCCTTAAATGGTCAGGACTCACCGGCAGGTCTGTAATTTTACTACACACTTCAGTGACCTAAGAATAACTCAGGTGGTTTGCCTTGTAGTCCTTGTAGTTACTGAATAATAAGCCTTACCATGTAATAAGCCTGAGATTTTAAGGGGTTTAAACTAGTACCACTCTTTTTATAAGACCAAAGCAGATTAAATAAACCGACAAAGTTAAAACTGACTAAGCAGAGATACAACTTCAGAGATGGTTCTGTGACCCCCACTGAGACCCCTAGTTTGAGAACCGCTGATCTACAGGTGGGACCAGAAGAACATCAAGAATCTCTCTTATGTTGTGAAAAGTTCAGTTCAGCTAATATGACAGTTTGTAAATATGCTTTTTTAGCCATACTGACTGTGCGCAAAGCCAGTCAGTATGTGGCCTGTTTCAGAGGAAGACTCCTGCCTAGAGACTAAAAATAATACACTGTACTTTAGGGGCAGTGTTGCCTTTAGGCTGTTTTACTGTAGAGGCCTCGGTGTACACCACATTGCAGGGCTGAGCTGCTGTTACAGGAGCTGATGTCAGTGAGCCCCAGGGGCCACTGTAGAGAAGCGCTCGGGAGGGGAGCGTAACGGAGCAAATCTGGTACATAGGTTGCTGCACTGGAAGACTCCCTCGCACAGAA